ATATTAAGTTTCAAGAAAAGTCAACAAGATGTGTGCTCTTCATTGAATTCATAAATATGTTTTGAAGCAAGTTGCCAAGATCAATACTTGCTTCACCACCACAATGGCAAGGATGATGAGGTCCTGGAGTAATTTTCTTATCTTCTTCCTTTTAATTTTCTTTACATATATGTTTGCATCAATATTTGTTTTTAGTGCAGATATTTTACATAATGGCTTAAATGTAATCCTAAGAAAGTCATAAATATATTTCCTTTTTTAAATTCTAGTATTATTATAAGGCTATCTTTGCCCTGAACTTTTAAATCCAATGCAAGGATGTGTAAAATAGGAAATTTTAACTGTTTTTAAGAAGTGTTAGTGGGGCTGGGGTGCACTTCAGTGGTTGAGTGTGGAGGCCATGGGTTTAATCCCCAGCAACCCAAAAAAGTATCTGTTAATTGTCTCAACCTCATTTATAACATCCTGTTCTTTTCTCCAGTGATATAAGGTATGATTGTAATCATATTTTTTATTCTCATTTACAGTAATTTGGAAATACTACTCATTTCTTGAAACTTTTATTTTATAGCTTAGTCAGCATTATACTTTATTAATTATAATAGCTTGATAAATTTTGATATGAAAAGTCTGACTTTTCAATTTTTTTCTTTTACTTTTTAATTTAATTTTTATTTTTTTATGGTACTGGGGATTGAATACAGGGGTTCTACAGCTAAGTTACATCCCCAGCCAATTTTATTTTGTATTTTGAGACAAGGTCTCAATAAGTTGCCCAGGCTAGCTTTGAACTTGTCGTTCTCCTTGACGGCCTCCTGCATCACGGGATTATAGGAGTGTGCCACCATGCCCCAGCAAGCTCTGCATTTTTGTTATTTGCTGTATCATGTTGAATACATTTGCATACTTATAATATATGCAGAATACATTTCAGGATCTCTCCATCATTATCTATTAAATTTCTTGGGTGCCATTTGAATGATATGCTTTGAATTTGTGTGTTTCTCAATGGGAGAATTCCTATCTGCTTACTATGAAAGATTCCTATCTTCAGGAAAGGAATTAACCAACTAAACCTTAAGATTTGTTTTTGTTTCTTTTCAAACATATAGATTATTTTATTTGCTTGTGTTTTTTTTGTTTGAAGCACTGTTAATAGTAGTTGTGATAGTAGATGTAGCATCTTGTTAATTATTTTGATGAAAATGCATTTAATAGATCACTAATTAACAAATATTCACAGAATTTCTGAAAGGTACTCCTTATTAGAGAACTTTTATTTTCTTCATAAATATTAAGAATTTTATCTTGAATTACTATTGGATTTTATGGGTTTTCCTTGTCTCTACAGAAAATTAGTATAATCATACCATTGATGGATTCCTTAATATGAATAATTTTTCATTCATAGAACAAAGTCTACAATGTGAAATGCAATAGGCATTAGAAGTTTGCATCTGACTTGCTAATATGTTGTTTGTAATGTTTGCATGTGTCTTTATTAGTAATTAAATGAATATTTTTTTTATCTTTTATGCTCTAGAATAGGGTTTCTCAGCCTTGATGCTCAGAAAATTTGAGGCTACATAATTCTTTGTTGTGAGGCGCTTTGTGAATTTAGGATTTTGGCAGCATCCATCCCTGACCTCTGCTTTCTAGTTGACGGTAATACCTTCTTCCAGTTATGACAACCAAAAATGTCTCCAGATATTGCCAAACGATTACTGGCAGCTGGAGAGAGGTTGCAAAAATATTCCTTCTGTGCTAGAAAGTTTTGTAGAAGATGGAAATGTATTTTTTTTCTGCTAACCCTTATGGTTTGGATATGAGGTGTACCTTAAAACTGTATGTGTGAGACAATTCAAGATTGTGCCGAGATGAAACATCATGAGAACTGTAACCTAATCTGTGGATGAATCTACTGATGGATTAGCTGGGTGGTAACTATAGGAAGGTAGGGTGTGGCTGGGGGAAGTAGGTCATTGCATTGGTGTGCCTCTGGGGTTTATATTTTATCCTTGTGAGTGGAGCTCTCTCTGCTTCATGGGTGTCGTGCTCTGAGCTGCTTTCCTCTACCATGCCCTTCCACCCTGATGTGCTGCCTCATCCAGAGCAATGGCGTTGGCTAACCATGGTCTCAGCTTCTGAAATTATTAGCCAAAATAAAGCTTTCCTTTTCTTAAGTTGTTAGATCTTTTGGTCACAGTGAGGCAAAATTGGCAAAAATGCTAATATTATAGAAATAAGGATAACACTGTTTTTCAAATCCTTTACCATGACAAGTCCTAGTAAAAGAGAATTATGTTTTTGACTAATTTTATCTGTATTTCTGTCATTATGATTCCACTTACGAGCCCACTGGACTAGCAATGGGGTCCATGGCAGGATGATATCTTTTTATAAGTACCTTGTTGCTGAGTTCCTCTGGATAATATCTGGTGAGTATTAACAGCCTGCTGTCTCCATTTTCTTAGCAAGCTCTTTATTTGACAGTCAGTGATGAAGCAAGTAGTGTCATATTTCCAGGACACTAGGTGTCTGTAAATTCCCAAGACTATGTGCTTATGCTAAAAATAATATGAGATTATAAATAAGATGTGGATTCCCACCAGCATGCTAGATCAGATTACCAGAAGAAGCTGCAGAATTTGGAGCCTTTCCACCTTTGGTTTGGAATAAAGCAGCCACGAGCCTGGTAGTTGTCCTGGAGTCCCACATTAAACATCCAAGGAAAACACGTTTTCTTTTTTTTTTTTTTTTTTGGTACTAGGGACTGAACCCAGGGCTACTTTACCACTGAACTACATCTCTGGTCCTTTTTTTTAATGTTTTGAGACAGAGTCTATCTAAGTTGCTAAGGGTCTTACTAAATTGCTGAGGCTGGCATCAAACCTGTAGTCTCTGGGATTACAGCTACCATGCCTGGTGGGAAATATTACATTTTCTAATGAAAACACTGCAATTCATAGAGATCAACCTTATGTCTTTCAGAAGGCTGGAGGTAAAAAGTCTTCCTAAGTAATCAAGCTAATTTTATGGAAGAATTTATGGTTGAAAAGATGGGGATCCATATGTAGGATAGGCTATTTATTTGCATTTCCATGATGAATATAGTTGAAAAGCTTAATATTGTCAATAGTAACGTTTCTTCAGTTACCTCAGTTAGGATGGGAGCTTGTCAAGAATGGCCTCAGACATGGCACCTGTGGTTTATTTTGAGGGGACTTAGAGGAGAGGATGCAAGGTGTATTAGTACATTTCTCTCTCTGAATCCCACTTCTTGGTGCAGAGCTCTCACAAGGAGAGTTACCCAAGTAACTCGGTCAGTGATGATGACACCAGGAGTATGAGGAGGATGAGGCCCATATGCCAGGGACAAGAACCTGAATTGGTCACCAATCCAAAGGGCAAACACAGAGAAGCCAACAACTGGGAAAGGAATCTAAGATTAGGGAGAGACAGGCAAGAGCTGTGACTGTTCTGAGCAGGGCCAGCAGCAGTTGCATGGGAAGGCTGTGAGTGCTGTAAGCAGCTGTGGTTTATGGTACGTGCCAAGGAAGCGTTGACCACATATGAAAGGCTGAGACAAATGGACACTCAGCACTATGAATGGGAGATATGTTCTCCTCATCCAGCCTTACAACTTCTTTTCTCCATATGATGTGCCCACATATACCACGAAACCTCCTTCTCAAGTCAACTTGAGACAGGTCCTTGCAAAACGTTTTCAGCAGAGAAAAGCTACCTACTCTTTTCTTTCTCTTCGTCACCATCACTATTTAATTTTTTCTATCCAGATAGATTCTCTTTCTCTGTCCTGAAACGTGCTCAGAGTACCCACGAAGGGGTCAATACTGATGCATGCCAACTGCTTCTTCACCATTTACTGTGCACCACCAAAATCACTTGCTGCTTACCTAATGATGGCTGTTGTCAGAGTCCTTCTGTCCCCTGAGAAGCTGTACTCATCCTGCCCTGCTGCAGGCAGCTGTCAGGTTCTGGCAAATGGTGCTTGGTACTCAGATCTCTCTGAGCTTTGGGGGTCTATATTTGTGGAAGAAGTGCTCACTAAGTAATTGATAAGGGTGCAGATTTCAAGAATACAGAGTTGTCTAGGAAATAATACCTATATTTTCATGATTTTGATGGAAAATCTTAAAACATCTATGTTTTTACTTCATGTGTCTTATTTTTTATCTTTTGAATGAAAGAAATAAAATATTGCCCTTAAAACTGAAGTTCCTGTTGACCCATTTTCCATTTCCATCATATTCATTCACAGTACCATGGTTTGATGTCTGTGTGTGTGTGTCTGTGTGTGTGTACGTGCACACATGTGTCCTTCACTTTCTGCAAATAGTCAGAATGTAAATATCTTATAATTATCAGGACATATATCTCACTTGCTTTTGTGTTTCCTTGTCATTTTTTAAAAGCATTACAGAGCTAATAGTTTGCACATCATGACACAGGCTGTTTAAGTCCACATTGTTGTCTGCAAATCTCTGCAATGCTCATTTTATATTTACACAAACCTATACCATGAACAATAATTTTGGATTTGGGCCTCCTTTAACCACTACTCCTATATACCTGTGGTTTGTGTGAGTTCATGACCATTCCATAGTCATGATATCAGAGCCCTTTAACATAACAGAATATCCTATTTAGTTTACTTAATGTATAAATCTCAAAAGCTGTGGTTTCAAAACAGGGGTCTTCCTAACTGGAATTGTTCAGAAACATGTGTAAGAATAAATATAGATTTGATGAGTAGTACAAAAGTCTTAAATAAATACCATGAAAAACCTGTTGAAACCTATTCCATACTTTTCTTTATATAGAAAAAGTTGTATTACAATATCTCTTCTCAATAAGATTTATATATATTTAATTTAAATCACAATTACATTTAGTTTTTTTTAGTGAATATAACTAAGATAAAATATTTGCCTGTTATATTTTTAGATCCAGGATCAGCAAAACAAGACATATTTGAGATGTTTCTTCCGAATACCTCAGAGGTTGAAGTCTCCACATTCCTACTGATTGGGATCCCAGGGCTTGAGCACATGCATGGTTGGATATCCATCCCTATTTGCCTCATGTACCTAATGGCCATCTTGGGCAACTGCACCATCCTCTGTGTCATCAGAACAGAACTTTCCCTGCATGAGCCTATGTTCTATTTCCTCTCCATGCTGGCCCTATCTGACCTGGGCCTGTCTTGCTCCTCCATCCCCACTATGCTAAGCATCCTCTTGTTTAATACCATGGGGATTTCTGCTGATGCATGCATTGCCCAGGAATTCTTCATCCATGGATTCACAGACATGGAGTCTTCAGTGCTCCTGATCATGTCCTTTGATCGCTTTGTAGCCATTCGTCACCCCCTGAGATATAGCTCCATCCTCACCAGCTCCAGAGTTATACAAATTGGACTAGTATTTGCTGTTAAAAGCATTCTCTTAGTGCTTCCTCTTCCTTTTACATTAAAGAGACTCAGATACTGTAATAAACGCCTGTTATCCCACTCCTACTGTCTCCACCAGGATGTCATGAAGCTGGCCTGCTCTGACAATAAGGTTAATTTTTACTATGGGTTGTTTGTTGCACTCTGCATGACGTCTGACAGTGTATTCATTGCTGTTTCCTATGTGTTCATCCTAAAGACTGTATTGGGTATTGCTTCCCATGGGGAGCGGCTCAAAGCTCTTAACACCTGTGTTTCTCACATTTGTGCTGTGCTCATCTTTTATGTGCCAATCATCACCTTGGCTACCATGCATCGCTTTGCTAAGCATAAGTCCCCCTTAGCTATGATTTTGATAGCAGATGCTTTCTTGCTGGTACCACCCTTGATGAATCCCATCGTGTATTGTGTAAAAACTAGGCAGATTAGAGTAAAAGTCTTAGAAAAATTGGGTCTGAAGTCTAAGTGATAGGACAAAGGTGGAAGTTCCATTTTCTCTACAATAAATTGTTCTAGGAGTAAGATATTGTTCCATCCAAAAAGGAAATTGTTCCATTTACTTCTTAGTAATTAGCTTAAATTAACTAACCAAACAATCAAGTCATTATGCATCTAATATACCCACAGGTTTTTTCTTCCTTTGGAAAAATAAGAATATATTTCATAGCAACTATATGAATCCTTTGGAGTTATTTAGGTGATTGATAATATCTATCTGTGGGCACAAGAATGTAAAGTAAGAATATTAGGAATTTTCTAAGGAGGAGCCAGGGAATATAGCCTTGGTCTGTACTAGAAGAATCCTGAGAGATACTGGAAGTATTAGCATCTCTGTATTTGCCCCTTCTTATTTGAATAATCATTGTGATTTACATTAAATTCTTTACAATATGTCTAGGTGATTCTGTGTCCACTAATCAGCAGCAATTTTATTACCTAGAATATTGTTAAAATTGCAGAATCTCATGTGCTGCTGTGAGTCCATGAGTCAATTTGCATTTTAGCAAGATTTCAGGGGATTGGCATACATGTTAATGTTTAAGGAATACTTCCCTATGGCATCATGATAGGAAAATTTAGAAAAAGTATGTAATTTGCTAAAGTTAGTTTTGAGTGAAGTTGGGTTGGGGACAGGAAGTTATAGGAGGGCCTTGACATTTAGTAGCATTAATGGTAAAGATAATGGATTGAGTGCCTAGGGTTCAGTGGTTGGAAGCCCAGAGGCATCTCCAACACTGTACCTATGTTTCCCGTGACAACTGTGTTATGAATTCCTGCAGGGAAAGAACTGTAGCTCATTCCACTTTGAATTTTATTAAAGTACTTTGTGTATGTGTGCTTAGTAGATGTGTATCCATTTGTATTAAAAGAATAGTTTCAAGTAAAAGAGGTATTTTTGGTAAATAGTTGGCATAAAAGGGTAGAATAAATATCATAAAACAAATAACTTCAAAGTTTCTGTGATAAGGAAAACCTGGGGTCAAAGTGTCAAAGGTTGTTCAATATATTATGAAGGCCGGGGCCCACAGTCCCTCAGGTTTTGCTGGGGTATATTGGAGTGGTCATCACCTGGGTGCTACTCAGCACTCTCCTCTTCCCATTTCTCAGGGACCTCATCCCTGATGTTTCTGGACCCAAGTGTTCCCCTGCCGACATTAATAAAAAAGTTTGGGGGGAAGGCTTCAGAGTAAGGCAAACATCTTAAATCCTCAGCCTTGGTATTCTCATTTGTGAAATGAAATGACTAACTCATTTAATAATTTTAATAAGAGAATGTATACTTTGAAGGGAAGCTTAGTTCAACTTGAAGATGTAACTATTTATATATTCCTGGAAGGTATCACAATATGATTATATCAGATTATATCATATTGTGTCTTGATATCTTCTTGTTTTGGCACTAAATGGATTCATTATGCTACTTTCATTTAAAGTGCATTCTTCTGTAATCACAAGAGAACAAGATTTTTCAATATAATTTTTTTTCCAATTCATTAAAGAAGATATTTACATTTTACAGTGGATGATAAAAAACATTTGCTAGGATTCAGCAAGTAAACATTATTAAACAAGAAAATAAATTAACTATTTACTCAAAGATATAGCATAAAACTATTGTACTAGATTCTAATAAACACAAATGCAATTTCTATTAAAATCATAAACAACATTTGAACATTCACTTTTACAATTGTTTTGGATGTTAGTGAATTAAATAGAAAATAAAATTACATAATTTATATGACTATTGGGAAAACTACCATTTATTTTTACTTATATATTCCATGTGCAAATAAAGTACAAATTTTAAATAAAATGGCCATAATGCTTGTGGTAATTATTAGTTAAGCATATTAATGCAAGAAAAGAAATATTTTGTTAGAATATCAACAAACCATTTATAAAATACATAGAAATTCATTTAACCTAAGCCAAAAATTTTATTGAGTAATATAGAATAGCTGTTTCTGAGACATCTATCATACATTCTTGAATATGAAAATCTATCAATGTTTATTCCCTTAAATTTATTCTATAAATAAGTAATTCCTCCTAAAAATCCTGAAGTTTTATTATAATGAGATTGTTTTATACCATATTTTTAGCTAAAGTACATTACGAAGCTACTAAAATAAATCAGTGATATGTCATCATCCATTAAAAGATATGTAAAGCAAAGTCTATACATACACCCAAGGTGCGTGTATGCGTTTTTGTATGGATAGATGGATAAAATTAAACACTGATATACATAGTTTTTTATTTCAGTGAAAATAAAAGAATGGATTTAATAAATGATTCTACCATTAGTACATTTGCGTGATTAAGCTAGGTTGTGTGGCCTAGCAGTCTAAGTACATATGCATGATTAATATAACTTTCTTAGTATAATTGGTTAATATAATTTTAGACTTCTGATATTGAAAACATTAAAAGTTAAAATTATGAAACTATTATGACAATTTTAGAAAAAGGCATAACAGACCATATGTAGAACCTAGGAATCAAAATACTTTTGGTTTCAGTGCTGAGAATAGAATCCAGGGCCTCAAAATGGTAGGCAAGTGCTTTACCACTCACTGGATTACACTACCGGCTCAATGATATCTGTTTTAAAGTAACACATGAACCAAAAATTTTAAAGGAAAATGAAGGTAGATGGAATTATACAAAGAACTATTTGTTGAATTGGTTGTTAAACAAGGTCATGCACAAATATTAGAATGGGAAAAGCTTAAAACTTACCTTCTGCAAATTTATATTTAAAACATAAACAACCAAACAGAAAAATGAATGAAGTTTATTTGAATGAGCTCCTTATGAAAAATGAAACAAAATGATTAATAGATATGTGAAAGACATTCTTTCTCACTAATTGAAAAATACAAAATAAAGTAAATTGAGCACAATAAAGTATAATTCTTAATAACAAAACTGATGAGAAATTAAAAGTGCTAGAACAGTCAATTTTAGTGACTATGGGGAAAAAAGACTCTCCTCTAAGTGTAAAAATATGAATTGATAAGGTCTTTTGGGAAAATGCTATATATTGAAATTTTAAAAAATGTTCAGTCATTTAAAAAGAGCAGTGATCTAGAAATCAATCTTACAGAGATACTAACATGAATACACATGGAGAACTGCAAAATACAGCTCATGAAAAATGGTTTGGAACAACATAAAATACATTTCTAATATCCATTAACAGAAAACAGTTGAATAAACTATAATTAACCCATAATTTCAAGTATCATGTAGTCATTTGAATGAATTAAATCCATTCCAATAAATTTGGAGGGATTTTAACTTTAAGAAAAAACAGATGCAGAAATACATGTACAATGTTATTCAAACATTGTGCTACAAACAAGGTAAGTTGCTCATATCTGTGTATTAATAATTGTATTTACATAAAGAAAAAAATCAGGATATTAACCATCTTTATAGAATAAAATTACATTGTCTACTTGTGCTGCATAGTAACCATACAACCTCAGTTGCTTGCAACTAAAGCATTTGTTGTAATGTTCTCTGGACATTAAGTTGACAAGGGTTCCTCTGACATAGGCTGCTTTGACTTGGTGGGTCTGAGTCAGTATCCAAGTGGCAGGGACTAGCCACAGGCTGTGGATCTGACTCAGGTCTGCACCTTGTGTCTTATTCTGGAGACCAGGTTGAAGAGGCAGAATCTACTAGGGAAGCACTATTTATTACAAAAAGTAAAATTCCTTGAAAAATCACATTGAAGCCCCTGCTCTTATTACATGCATTAACATCCTATTTGAAAAGAGTGAATTATGTGCCCATGCTCAAATTCACAGTGAAGGTTAAGTACAGTGTGCCCACTCTGATCCTCAGGATGTGTGTGTGTGTGTGTGTGTGTGTAATACAGCTACTAAGAAATAAAGAATTAAGATAAATAACTCCACATACAACATGTGAGATTACTTTTATATGGACATTGTATTTCTTAATATTCACTAAAAGGTAATTATGTTTAAACCTGGATGATATAATTAAAGGTGATTTTTATTTCTTCTATTTTTATTAATCATAAAATTTTAACAACAAATATGCACATATTAAAAAATAAACACTTTGAAAACCAGATAACAGATGAAAAATATCAACTGTTTCTTTTTTCCAGCCCAATCAGTTAAATGGCCTATTCTTGGTTTGAAGAGACTAAATGAGAGACTTACTATATCCTCCTTCATTTAATCCTGAGGATCAGTGAGTACACTACTTATGGGGGTGAACACAAGTGGAAGATCCCCATCCAGCTGGGCAGAATGCTGCTGTTCTCTCTTTTACTGTGCAGCTTTTTGAACTTCTCCAGTTTCCTTAGTTATTAAAGTATAGACAGAGAAATTCAATGAACAGCAACTGAACAACAACAGCCACACTCTTCCATGGTTGTGAGAAGATCTGGAATTTGGTCCTTTTTATGCCCTTTTTAATGCAAAAAAGGTGGATTTCTTCCATTCTCTTAGACTTTTTCCTTCAATATACATATGCACACTTCTAGGGTCAGGCAGAGTCATCCATTCACGGGCACTTGTTCACTTGAATGGCCATTTTATGTGTGGTGAACTGAGTGCAGTCATAGAAGCCTTTGTAGCAGAAGCCCTCTACCACCAAATATGGAGGGACACCCTCCTCACTGAGTACAACCCACCTTCTTGGGCTGGAACCTCTTGAGTGTTCTCTCTCTAATCTCCTTCATCTTGACACTATAAAGGACAGGGTTTATCAGTGGAGGAAGTAGGAAGTGGACATAGGAGAGAAGAGTATGGGCCGGCTGAGGGAGTGGCAGCTTGAGCCTGTTAATGAGTGCCAGGAGGATCATAGGTGTGTAGAAGAGGAGCACAGCAGAGAGGTGGGCAGCACAGGTTTGACCAGCCTTCCAGCAATCCTCGCTGGATCCCACACCTTGTAACACCCTGCCAATCAGGCCATAGGAGAAGA